AATTTTAAAATTATTTTTTAAATAAAATATGCCCTGCCTGAAACCCTCCCTGCACCACTGATGTTATCTGCTGGTGGACGTACGATTTAGCGGCTTTGCAGGGGGATACATGATCTTACAGCAAACATTTGTCAAAAAAATAAATGCAAACAAATAGGAGAGAAAGGCACAAAAGCCTCAATGAAAATACACACTTGTTAAAAACACTCTGGGCACAATTCTGGTTTCTTTTTCTTGTCACAACCCACATGGCCGCACAGAGCCAGCTCATACAATAACAGCAATAGCTCATTTCCAGGTAAAGGTCCAGGGATCCAATGGGACTTTTTTCCTCCCATCAGGGCTCACCATTTCCAGGTGATTCTTGCACTCAAGGACTGGCACTGCGGGACACGAAATGATGTGGCACCCGTGCCATCTGGATGGGTTTTCAAGGACAACAGGGACAGGATGTGGAAGCACCAGCTCCCAGCTTTTTCAGCCGCTGCACCTCCATCTCCCCTTGGAGTTATTGGCAAGGTGAACCAAAATCAGTTTACAAAAGAAAAATAACCCAATGAATTAGTGATGATTACCTTTAGGTAAGTCTCTCAAACGGTTAGCAGGGATGGCTGCAAGGTAAGACATTGGCTGTTAACGGTGTTAGTTTAGTCATTAAGCTTGGGTGGCCGAGGGAGCACCTGGCAAATATAAAGTTACACAGAATTATGGATTTCAGAGGGATCTGATCCTGCCTGGGGACCAGAGGAGGTTTGTCCTTCCCCAGAGCCCCCCAGGCACTTTGCACGCCTTTCTTCCTAATCCTGGTACACAGCAAAGGGGAAACATCAGCCTGCTATGGAGTTAATGAGCCATTAGGGGAAAAGGAAGGGAAATAAATCAAGCTGAGTCAAATTATTAGGGATAGGAGATTGACACTGCACTCTGTTGTAGGGCACTGCGGGTCTGGTGGGATGGAGCACTCCTGTGACTGCAGCACGGCCACGAGCAGGGACTGATAAATGTGTGTTTTGTGAGCAGACCTCGCAGTGTACATCAGTGGGAGTGGGAAGGGGTTTGGGTCTGGGCTTGTCTCTCCCTGTATTGAAAACGGGACCTGCAAGGCTGGGAGCAGCTCCCTCACCCCTGGGTTTGCAGCTTCTCAGTACCATTGACATTCAGTGAAATTCACTTGCAAATTTACGGCTGTTCCCCCAGAGCTGCATCATCCACATTGGGTATTTTTAGCTCCAAGTAATGACTACTCTTTCTGTTTTTTTTAGTCTCAAATGCAAGTTTCCTGCGACTCGAACTCAATGCCAATGAGCCTGAGCTCAGCGCGTCCTTGCCGGGTCCTGCAGATCGCTCTGCCAGCATCTCCCTGAGCATCTCAGGATGGTTTTGTGATCCCAGGTCACCCCTTTGGGCCTGACCTTCACGCCAGTCATTGTATTCAAAATAACAGCACCCGGGTCTGTGTGACGGCAGCGTTACCTAGCACGGTGAGGTACGCTTTGGCCGAGTCCTTGTCCAGCTCCGTGCTGGCCACGCAGGTGTAATCCCCTTGGTCCTTCTCAGCCACGCCGTATATCGTCAGACCATCGTCTTCCTTCTTCATCCTTAAAGGGGTGAGAACAGCAATCACACAGCTGGGCCTGAGCACATCAGGACTGCAGACTCACTGTTCTCTGATGAAAACACATTTAAAAAGCCCAAACAGAACAGGATTGCGTCTCTGGTCTGGAGATGTTATCAGCTGAGGATGCATTGAGTTCCTCTTGGAAACCTCATTTCCTAAGGAGTCAGTGAGTGTGCTCTGGTCTGTATCTGAAATTACCGCACCTTTAGGAAAACAGTCTGACCTGTGGCTGCTCTGTGTGATCGGATCTCACTGCACGAGAAGGGAGCAGCTATGGAAAGGAAATTAAAACTGCGCCACTCACAGCAGATGGATAAACATTCATTTTGAAGTAGCTTGTTATTAACCCGTGTGTTTTATTAATAAAATACCTGTAAATAAACCTGTAGCCAAAGCCTTGATTTACTGATAAGTCAATTTTAATTGCTAGGCAGTGTCTGTTGGAGGGAGCTACCAACATTGAAAGCATAGGACAGCAAATGCTGCCTAGGGGGGAACTCGATGTTTGTCCGAATTATCCCTGGTGACTCCTGAAATGTTCTGTAAAGAATCCGACAATCCTAGGAGACAAAACCCGTGAAGCTGTTTTGGACAGACCTGTTTCCAATGTACAGGGGTGCGTCGTCCTTCAGCCAGGTGACCGTAAGCTTCAGCGTGGGGTCGTGCTTTATTCGGCAGTGGAGGCGAGGCATGGAGCCCCTCTTCACCACCTGATCTTCGGGTCCTCTCACGATCCTGGTTGGGTCTGCAGGGGGTCAGAAAGGCAGCGTTAGGCACCAAACCACTGGGTCTAAGCCAGGGGCTCAATGAAGAGTGGTGCCACTTGGAAAAGACAAGCGTGCCCGTCAAGTGTTTGTCGAGCTGAACTGCTTCCAATACAAATGCTTGCAAATAAACTAATTTAACAAACCATTAATTCATGCTGACCCTTTTAAATAAATGCGCTCTCTTCTGAGTCAGCAATCAGTTTTGCTGAACAGGGAAAAGCCTGGCGGGAACTCGATTCGGAAAATGTTTTATTGCCCTCAGTTAACACTGATATACACTCTGTAATTCTTTTTCCAATGCTGATAGCATCTCACAGATCAATCTCCACACCAGGCCCTTCTATAGCTTCAGTATATCCACACACTTGGGGTTTTTTTTCCAACATTAAAAGGGAATCTCTGCCCTTTTCTGGATCCCAGCTCTGAATTACACAGAGCCTGTCCTGCTGCCAGCCTGCTGGAGCACACAACCACCCTTCCCATAACAGAAATCATCATTTCTGCTCCGAGTCTCCAAAGACCCAAGAGGCTGCGTTGACCCAGGACCCTTCATGCCCCTACCTTTGACTTCCAGGCGAACCTGGGCCTCCGCTTTACCCAGGATGTTGGTGGCCACGCAGGTGTAGATGCCCTGGTCCTCCTTGCGAGCCATGTTCATCTCCAGGCTCCCGTTCTCATGCGCCCTGTAGTTCCCTCCGTCCAGTGTGTTCCCCTGGCCGTTCTTAAACCTCACAACACCACAAAGCGCTATCGTAAGGGAAGAAGGAGCAGGAGACCTCCCCTTCCCACCCCTCTGGGCCGGCAGGGGACGTGCGGCAGCTCTTACCATCGCAGGGTGGGGATGGGCGAGCCGAAGAAGGGGCAGTCGAGCCGGGTCCTGTTGTTCTGGATCACCTTGATGAGCTGGTTGCGAGGGGCCAGTATCCGCGGGGGCACATCTGCAAACAGCAGAAAGCCCAGACGTGGGGAATGAAAAGGAACCGGTTCCCAGACCGCTGCTCCCTCCCAGTCTTCTCCTCTACCCTCCCTTCTGTCCCCTCTTCCTTGTTATCACTTTCAAGATGCAGTAAAGCTTCTCCATTCACTCTCATGTCTCCTTCCCTTTCTGGTCCATGGCAATGGACTTCTGCTCCAAAGCCCGGTTGCAGAGATCAGCACCTTTGTGCATTAGCCCCACAGGGGAAAGCAAATAGCGAACTCTTGCAGGGAAATTTTGGCTATAGGAAGTTCACCTTCCATTTGCACTTACCCAGGACGCTGACAAAGGCATTGGCGAGGAGGTAGCCGTGCTCGTTGGACGCGTTGCATTGGTACACGGCGCTGCTGCCGATCTGGGTGTCCCGAAATACGATGGTGTCCCCAGCCACCTCTCGGCTGGGGTTGGGGGGAGAAGCTTCGAAACAGAGAGCACTCTTTAAATTAAATTTTACATTGAAATTCACAAGATGCTCTATACCATTACAGGTCTATCTCAGCCCAGAAAAAACACAATGATGGTCCCTGGTCTCCCCAGCCTGCAAAGACCTGGTTCAACTGGCCCCATCCCAGACAAGCAGATGGTTTCTGTGCTGGGATGCCGGAGCCCACGCACGCTGCTCAGGGGGGTGCCTGGCACCCCAACAGCAGCTCTGGCTCTCGTGCTCAGCCACGGGATCCTTGGGTAGGGTTTTTTTGGGAAGGAGCCTTCCCTGCTCACCTTCGATGGGCTCGCCATTCACCAGCCACTGAATGGCAGGCTTGGGGTTGCCATTGGCCCGACACACCAGCCTGCCGTCCTCGCCGGGGGCCAGGATCAGGTTTTGGGGTTCGTCCAACCAGTAGGGAGCAGCTTTAAAAGACACCAGTGCACCAGTTAGAAACACAGCAATGGTACCTCATCCAAAATGCCTTCCTTGCCTGCACACCACTGAACTAAGACACCAAAACACCGTCCTCTCCGGTGGGCTTTTTTGGGTGTATTAAGAGTCCTCCCCCGCTCTTTGGCCACAAAATCTCCCATTTTGCACAAAAACGCAACCATTTCCATCAGCAGAGGTCTGCTGAGATCCCAGCTCGTGCTGCTTTTAGGTCAGGCTGAGACAGCCCCCATAGGAAGCCCCCGCTCCCCGTTTCCGAGCATCCCCTCCCGTGCGCGTCCCCTCGGCGCCCGGTTGTGAAGGTAAAGATGGCGAGGTAAAGGTGACGTACCCTTCACTCTCACCGAGATCGTGTGGCGGATGCTGCCCATCTTGTTGGACGCCAAGCAGAAATACTCCCCGGAGTCTTCCTCGGAGACGTTGGAGATGCGCAAAGCCTTGTTGAAGTTCTCCAGCTTGGTTTTGCCTGCCGGGAGCTCCCCTCCTTTCTTGTACCACATGATGTCTGGTGCTGGTCTAAGGAGAGGGCAGGCGATAAAGGCTTTTGCAAGAAAATGACTCCTAAAATACCAGTTGGTAACCCTGCACTTGGAAATACACCCAGGGAGAAGGGGTCCAGCTGCTGGGTCACCTCCTTCCTACCACAGCCCCTAAACCAGGACCCTGAGCATCAGCAGTGGATCAGGAGCGGGGTCCATCGCACACCTCGTGCTTTGGGGGTGCAGACAGCACCTGAAAACCTGACCCTGCACCCAGGACGCTTCTGCAGGCACAGGGACCCCAAACGTCCTCGGTTTATACAGCATGTGAGGAGCACCCAGGAAGTGAATTACCCCTGGGCAGCAGGTATCTGAAAATGTGCTGCAAAACTCAGTTCTGCTGTTTGCTCCCTGCTCTTATGCTTCAAGCAGGTTACAAGAACATTGCTAATAGCAGTTAAAGGGAAGGGGATGACTCCTTGTCTTCCCCAGAGGGATTTCCACTGGTGATTCGGCATCCTGGGACCCCGCTGGGGACCACCCTCTGCCCGTCCCCATACGTACACGCCCGAGGCAATGCACTCCAGCAAGAGGTCCACCCCTCTGAGCACCATCTGACTGCTCGAGGTCCCATAGGGAAACATGAAGCTGGGAGTCGTCTCCGTGATCCCTCGGGCTGAAATCAGCAGGAGAGAGAGGGGAAAAAAAAAAAACAAAGAAAGAAACAAAACAGAGTGCTTTTAAATCCTCTCTTTTGACGCAGCAGCAATGGGGAGGGCACAGACAGGGCCAGAAATACCCGGTGCTCTCAGGGGGATGCTGTCAGGATGCCAGCCAGGCCTGGGATAACTCACTCAGAAATGGACCTGGAAAGTAGAGGAGGGCTGAAGGTGACTTTGAAAGTAGAAAATAACAGGGTGGAGAGAGGATGCTTGGGAAGGAAGGAGGTGGAGAAGCAGCAGAGGATGGGCAGGGGGAGCTGAGCCATGGGGAAAAGCCCCACAGCCAGCAGCTCCCACTGGGGCAGCGCCTTTCCTGCACACCCCTGCCTCCAGCACAAAGAAATGGGCTGAAATCAGGTGAGATTCGGGAATATGGATTGACAGAACATGTAATGAGGGACAAACAGGCACAGGAAGGGTACACACGGACAGCTGAGCACAGAGACCTCCAAAATGTGGAGGATCCCGGCAATGCCAGGGGCTCTAGCAGCACCACACAGAGTTCCCAACCATACTGGGAGCCTGCAAAGACTTTTTCCTTTGTAAAGGAACAACTTGGTGACCAAAATGACCAATTTCAGGACTGGACAGGAAAATTTAACAGGACAAAACCAGGGGAAGACACAAGACGGCTCTCTACAGATACAACACAGCGAAGGTCTCTTTGTAGAAGGGGAAAAATTAATTATTAATGGAATAAATTCCATTAATAAGTGATAATGATTAAACTAGATCTAGATCAGTGAGGACAAAACAGGATGAGATGGGCTTGAAAGCAGCAGCAGCAGAGATGGAGGTTACGAGATTAGGAAAGGGGACAGAATGGCCAGGGGTGGCACTGGGTCACTACAAACACTGGGGTGATCCATGGGGAGCAGATCTTGGGGCGCAGACCAAGCTCTCTCCTGCTGTCCCAAAAGCTTTGCTCACTCAGCGAGGAGGAGGCAGCCGGGTGTGCCCAGCACCACGGGGCTTCTGGGGGTGCCCACATCTATTTGGGATGGCCATGTCTATTTGGGGATGCCCACGTCTATTTGGGGATGCCCACGTCTATTTGGGGATGCCCACGTCTATTTGGGATGCCCACGTCTATTTGGGGATGCCCACGTCTATTTGGGATGCCCACGTCTATTTGGGGATGTCCACGTCTATTTGGGATGCCCACGTCTATTTGGGATGCCCACGTCTATTTGGGATGCCCACGTCTGTTTGGGGATGCCCACGTCTATTTGGGGATGTCCACGTCTATTTGGGATGCCCACGTCTATTTGGGATGCCCACGTCTATTTGGGGATGTCCACGTCTATTTGGATGGCCATGTCTATTTGGGGATGCCCACGTCTATTTGGGGATGCCCACGTCTATTTGGGGATGCCCACGTCTATTTGGGATGCCCACGTCTATTTGGGGATGTCCACATCTATTTGGGGATGCCCATGTCTATTTGGGATGCTCCCACCTGAGCTCTGGTAGGGAAAAGGGTCTCGGAAGGAGCAAGGGAGAGGGCAGGGGCTGTTCATGGAGTTCCTGGTAGGGAGCCTTAGGGAAAGCCTAGGACCAGGCTCAAAAGGGCAAAATCCCAACCCCAAGGAGTGAAACCGTGCCTTTGAACCGGCTCCATATCCACACCCCCGCATCCCTCCGCTCCCCGAGCCCTCCAGGTACCGGTCCGTACACGTTCATCAGCCGGTTAGTCAATTATTTGATTAATGGATTACCAGGGCAGGGAAACCTCCACCTTCTCCTGCAGGGCCAGGCGCCCTTTGCTTGCCTTGATCTGGTTCCTGCTTAAACCCAGCGCACGCCGGTGGTTGGGTTTAAATCAGCATTTACCAACAGCTCCCACACCTCCATCCAGACCCGTGAACCCCTCTCCTCTCGGGGGATGTCATTCTGCAAGCCAATATTGGCTTTTCTTAGCCCACGATCTGTTTGAACAGGCCGTACGCTCCGCTCCCACAACGAACCCCTTCGCTCGGGAGCCCAGGGCGTAACTCGCAGAGATGAGCAGCAGCGCAAGCCAGATTTTACGAGCCATATATTAATGATGACAATTAAAAACAAGGGAGATAAATTAGTATCCGATCCACTTGTTTAATAAACCCAACAGCAACGCTGCATAGCTGATAGGCTTTTTGCCTTCGCGCAGCGCTACTAAAACCTATTTTGCTATTTATAATAGGGGGCGAACAGCAACGCTCTCAGGCAGAGCTACGGCTCCAGCTGCAGCTGGAGGCTGTCAGACAAACAGCAACGTCTCACTCATTGGCTTGGGTGGAACAGAACTGGAAAAATAAATCCCGTGGCTATTTAATTCTGCTCAAAAATAGACTCTGCTGCCAATACGTTGCTGCTGTGCCTCTGCCTCTCTGAAACTGGACCCGTTCAGCTGTGAATGGGGTATCCCAAAAATGGGCACTTCTCGCCCCGGAGCGGTGCCCCCTCCCCGCAGTCCTGACCTGACGGCGTTTAAAAATCGCACACTGACTGCCGTTTCGTGAAAGGCGATAATAGGAATATGCACACCCAGCCACATCCCATCTGCTCGCCTCCTGCACAGGCGGCTTTCCAACATCCTGCAGGTTTGCCAAAAGAAGGGAAAAAGAGGGAAAAAAAGAACAAAACAGACTTTCATTTCCATTAAAAAAAAATAAAAAGTGAGAAACTTGCGCTAATCAAATATTCCATTAATCCTTTTAGATCATTTTTCCTCCATAATTGCAGTCAGTTTGCCTGGCAATTAAGCTTTGCAGCAAGGAAATCACTACACCCGCTCTGAGCCGTGGGGAGAAGGGCTCGGTCTCATCTCCTGCCATCAGCCTGGCCCTCGAATGCAGTTGGAGACAAGTGTCCCCCAAACCGCTCGCACCCCATGGCCCCACCAGCGGGGCCCATGGCTCCAGGGTGACCTCAGGCACATCCACTGCACCCCAGCCCGTTCCCATCCCATCACGTTCCCTGCAAGGTCTGGGTACCAGCACCCCAAGGTACAGGGTCCAAGAGCCCAAAGCCTCCCAAACACCTAAAATATTTGGGAGACCGATGTCTCCCTTCCCCACGTCCCACCCCTGAGCCTCCTTTGCTGCAGTGGCCAGAGAGGGCGTTCCTGGGAGAAATGGAGGGACAAAGAAAATGAAAAACAGCTGAGGGCAAGAAACTTTCTACCAGTTCATTTACTATTAAGGAACTGTTGGTCTGGAGCTCAGATTTGCACCAGGGCATGAACATTTGAATCCTCTGGACCCATCAAATGTTCCAGGAGACACTAAGTGCAAATAATCCATACAGTGCAAAGAGCAGGCAGCTTCTCCTATGCACCTATGATTAGAAATCTGGAGATATCTATGAGACCATGCAGAGCAGACCTAATTTTCCTAACCCAGTGACTATCAAGCATCCTTTTTCCCTGAACAAAGATTTTCAGGCTCTGCCCAGCCTGTTTGCTGCCACCACCGCTTCCTCCAGGGCTGGTTCTGCTGCTGAGCCTTCCCCAGCTCTCCAGCATCCTTGGAAACCTCCCAGCCCTGGCTGCTGGTGCAAGAACCCCATCCTGGTTCCCTTGGTGGGAAAGGGATGCCCAGGCTGGCACGGGAGGGGGCACTGAACCCAGTGCCCTCGTCTGGCACATCCTCTTCTTCCCACACTCCAGCTCTCTCTGGCAGAAGCACTCCTTGTCCCCAAAAGTCCCCGTGGAAGAAGGAAAGGTGCCCTGGGTCCTGCAAGGCACAAAGCGAGCTGTGGCTCTGGGTGAAGCCGAGCAGGATTTCACTGTAGGGCACGGCTGGGGACATCGCCGGGGCTGTCCCCATCCCACCACCACACAACCTTGGTCTCTGCGCTCTCAGCATCACCCACAAATGATCCCATCTCCTTGCCTCTGCCCATGTTATCCCGTCACATCCCTGGCACTTCCAATCCATCCCCAGGGCAGCGACACGGTTTTGCACGTGAAGCACAATTTATGAGTTTGGGACGGGCTTCTCCCACCAAACGCAGGCTCCAGGGGTCATCTCCCTGCCCAGAAAAAGGGCAAGAGCCTCCCAGAAGCATCCAACACACGAACAACCTCACTGCAACGAAACAAAGCACCCGGCTTTGAGAAAAACAAATACTCCTTTTTTTTTTGCTGCTTGCCTTCTTATTTTCTTTCTCCCAGTCACTGTCTGTGTTTAGCTGCAGGTACAACAGATGCTCTTTCTGA